TGAAATGCGTCCATCACTAAGGCCTTTCAGCACTGACTTTCTGTGTCTTGTTGATCACAAAGAGGAAGCCCTGGGGGCTCAGACTGTGCAGACCCAGCAGGCATCTTGGCACCCTCTCCCCCCAACCCCGAAGACTTCTCCTTCCAGGGGGTGCCCACCGCCTGCCTGTGGGAGGAGGCAGGGGAAGGAGGTAGTGTCCTATTGCCCTTTTCAGCAGCAGAGACCAGATCTTGGAGCAGAGCCACAGAGGAGCCTGGCACAGCAGGGACATCAGCCCTCCCCGATGGCACAGCCAGCGTGCTCCCCCACCCCCGCCTTTGTCCCTTTTCAATCAGCACAGAAGTTCTGTCTCAAGAGATCACATGTTGCCAGCAGCCTCAGGATCAAGAAGGGGGAAGCTGGAACGGGGCCTCCCTGGCTTCGCCTTTGCCTCGGACCCTGTGGGAAGCCATGTCTTGGGGACCTGGAGTCCAGTTCTTTGCAGAAGGGCTTGTGGACAGGACCCTACTCCCCAAATTCCCTCAGACAGGAGGCTTAGAGCAAGGGTTTCTAAGACAGAGGCCCCCACAACAGCCCACCTGGTCTTTGCAGACACCCCTGATGTCCATGAGGTGGGACCCTTCCAGGGGTCAGCAGTGAGCTGGGCCCCCAAGCACCCGCCCTGGCCAGCCCACGGTGGATGTCTCCCTCCAGGAAGGGGCCATTCCTTTGCGGCTGATTTTTGCCTGCTCACAGCGTAAAGTCTGCTTCCAGCCCTTTCTCTTGCACAACACAGCAACTCTCACTTGTTAGCACCCCAGCATCACGGCCACGCAGCTGATTATCACTGCACTCCAGGTGGGGAAACTGAGGCTCTGGGAGATGTCAGACTGCGAGTTATCAACATGTGGTGCTCCCATGCCCACTCCTCACTGAGTCCTCCACCTCGGGGCCGGTAGGGACAGAACAGGGAGGGGTGCGGGAAGGTCAGTAGTGTTTCCTTGGGGTCTGGGGCCTCAGACCCGTGTTCCTTTGGTCCAGGACTGCGAGCAGCGGGCCCCTGGGACCAGGAGATGGGGGGGCTGCAAAATTATATAAAGCAAGAAGAGTTTCCAGGATGGGGGCGGGGGGCACGCGCTCAGGCGCCCCTCTGCAGCAATCTCTCGGAGCTGCGGGTCCGGTCACCCGCCTTCCTCACACCTTCCCTTTTTACATCAACATTCAATCATCTGTTCCCATTCACTCCGTCTCTTCCATTTTTATCTTACGCTGCCCGTGAAAATTGGTGTGAAATAAAAAGGCAACTCTGCCTACAGATGTAATCAATTGATTTGGCAGGTAGCCCACGGACACCGAGGAATCGGAGAGCAATTTCCAGTGTGGACAGTCCCTCCCTTCATTTCCCTGCCTCCTCCCTCCTGACCTCTCCGCCTTACTCCTTTTATTTCTCAGGCTCCTCCTTTGCAGCTTCGCTTTGATCTTCTGGTTATTTCTTGCTTTGCATTCCGCGGAAATAAACCAGCCCGGGAGTCCCTCCTCCGCCTCTCCATTGTTTCTGTATCCTGAGAGGCGTGAGGAGGAGTCTGCCTTTCCTGGGGCTTCTGCATCTTCTGGAAGACGTTCTGCACCCCAAATCTATCTGAGAAGGGGGATCAGGTTCAAGATCTTGAAGGACCCCAGCCTCCTGACCCCTCACAGACACCCCTAGATAGAAGATAAACCTATCCCAGAATAAAAGTCTCCCCACCATCTGGGAAAAGAGAAAATGGTTTAAGCAGGAGAATTGCACACTCTCACTCACTCATTCATTTAAATAAGTGAATGAACGTGTAAAAGTACACAGGTGTACACATATGGATATATTATAAAGCATATATTTATAAAGCACCCCCTGGCACTGGGGGTGCACAACCAGCAAAACAATCAGAGATCCCTCCTAAGCACGTTGCTGGAAGACAGCAGGCCCTCGAAACATAGCGTGGTCACTGTTGGCTTTTATTTTTCTGGAAGTCTCTATTATGGCGCAAGATGCTTTACTGCGTTCAATAAGTGTTAGCCTCTTCCCTTCCGGAGGCGAGAGCGACTCGCTCCGCGTGGTGTCTGTTTCCTGGTCTTTATTGTTTTAACACAAGCAAGGATGGAGGAAAGACAGGGAAATGTTCACTCCGGTGTCGTCTAGATTTGAAGATATTCTTTAAACACAAATAAACTTATAATTAAAAATTTGTGATAAGTGGTGTGAAGACAAGCCAGGGTTGCTGCAAGAGGATTTAATTTGGGAAGGCGAGGGAGGGGGTCTGTGCAGCTAGCGTCTTCAAGAGGCACCATTTCACCCAGTGGTTCTCAAAGTAGGGGTCTCCTGGCGGCAGCAGGGAGCTTGTTGGAAATGCACAGAAATGCAAGCTCTGGGGGCCCATGGGTGAAAAGAAACCCTGCTACCTGAGCTTCAGTGAGCTCTGCAGGGGAGTCTGGAGACGTCCTAAGCTGAGCCTGGAAGGATGAGTAGGACTGGCCGCACACAGGATGGAGAGAAAGACTTTAGACAGAGGGCGCTGAGGGAGCATGGTGGGGTGCATCGGGGAGATGAGACCCCGGGGCTGGACGGTCGATGTGCCGAAACCTGGAGACCTCCATTAAGGGTGTGGACTTTCCCTTCCGTCCACCAGACCCCCCAAAGGGTGCCGAGGGGAAGAATGGTACCCCACAATGTCAGCGTCAGGGAACCGGCTTATAGGCGTGCGGAGCCAAGGATGCAGCAAACGCTGCGCGGGTTCCCAGCACGCACCCCGGTCTCCGGCCCTTTCCCTGCCAGGCCTGCCCCGTGGGTCAGCCCTGGAGAAGTGATGCCCCCAAGGGGCCGTCTGGGCGGCCCAGGAGGTCCGGGCGGAAGGCTCTTTCTTCATTCTGTGCTTCTTGATACCTAATAGGATTTTGTGTCTGCATGAATTATATTTATCTCTTTAAAAATATCAGCGGGGGGCATCGAAACAGTGGGATTACCGCGTGTTTTGGTTTCTGCTCACCAAGATCCTGGATTTTATGAAACAAAAGCAAATAAAATATTATAAAGCCAATATTTATCAAATACTGTTACACATCAGGTACTTTGCTGATTTCACTCTTCATTCCCCAGGCAAATATTCATGGCGCCCCTGCCACGCCCCGGCTCCAGGCAGGCCTGGGGTAGAGCCCCAGATCCTGACACCAGGGAGTGCCCATGCAGGCGCAGCCCCCAGACCAACAAGGGGTTTAAAAAGCAGAAGCTCCTGGGAGGGTTTGCATGGGAAGGAGAGTAGGGGTGCCTTGGGGGGCTGCTCAGGGCAAGTGACAAGTGACGGAGGCAGCAGTGGTGAAACCCACCAGGGGGCAAGGCTAGGAGCAGGCCCTCTGCTGGGCGCTGACCTGGGAGGGAACAGCAGGGACTGTGGCTTCAGCGGGTGGAGAGTGGCAGGAGGACCTGGGGTCTTGCAGGTGGGAGCCATGGCTTGCCTTGCCGAGAAGAGCCACGAGGGAACCGGCAAGAGCGAGCAGGGAGGAGGGCTTGGCGGCAGGGGGAGGTGGGATGGAGGGCATGATGTCCCGTGGGCTGGTGCGGGGCAGTGAGGGCAGGTCAGGATCCCCTTCTGGCATGGGATGGGACCCGCGGTACTGGGTGCAGGCTTGGACAAGGCCCAAAGAGAACGCACTCAAGGAGATGACCAGTGTATCGTAACCCAAGTGACTGAAAAGATTTGCCGTTCATTGAGGGGGGAACCTGGGGGCAAACATCGATTTTTGGAGGGGCAGGGGGAGCTGGTAGTTTCAGTCTAGAAGCTGTGTTCTCCCAGGGCCAGACTCCAACACAGAGCTGGAGGTGCCAGTGTTATTGGGGGCAGGGCCTGGGAGAGGGGAGAGGAGGAGCAGCAGTTGAAGGGGGGTGGGTCTCCTGTCCGAGGAGGCCCTGAAGGCAGAAGCCCAGCTTCAGCGAGCCCCAAGAGCCTTCTGCCAGCCCAAGGGGGCCCTGGAGCCAAACGCACCCCTTAGGAATGTCCACCTCCCACAGGGCCTGGCCAGCCCTAGCCCCCTCCCCGCAGATCGCACGGCCCAGCAGAACACGGGGCTCCCATCACCGAGGAAGGGGTGCCCTCTCCGGCCGCCAGCCTATTAGACATATCAGTGGAGCTATCGAGTGGGCAGCTGGATATACGAGTCTGGAGTTTAACATGAGGTCCAAGCTGGAGATAAAATTTAAGCGACTTCAGCTTCTAAATGGTATTTAAAGGCACGAGAGCGCGGGGCTGGGAGATAAGCGGGGAGAACGCGCCTGCATTTAAAGGTCGGGGGCCGGGGAGGAGGGGCCGGGGGCAGCCTGGGCCTCTGGAGGAAAAACAGAGCCTGTGAGGTTCTGGAAGTCAAGGAAAGAAAAGGCTTCAAAGAGGAGGGCGCCCGCTCGCGGAATGCCAATCCGCGGCCTGTTGAGCCTCCCCCGAGGCTCCCACACCCGATCAGACGCTGGACGTGCTGGTGGCAGCGATGCCGTCGCCTGGAATTGAGAGTCTGGCTCATTCTCCCGCCTGTAAGACGGGGTGTCTGTCATAGCGACTTCCCAAGCGGGTCGCCGGGAGTCGCCCTGAAGCCTTCCTGGCTGCGGCCCAGCCTGGGAGCTGGTGTTCTAGGGAGGAGCTGGGGACCAGCCGGGGACCCTCGCTTGAGGCCCAGCGGGGAGGCCCCGGGAGCGAGCAGGCTTGGGGGAGGAAGGCCTTGAGGAGGGAGGAGACCCCAGACTCCAGTGAAAGGCTCGGGTGACTACAAGGTGCGGGTCCTTCCTCGGGGTCCCCAGGGGCAGTGACACCCACCGCCCTCCTGTTCCAACTGCGTGCCTGGGCCTCCTTGCCAGACTCCCGATGGCCACGCCGCCCTCTGGGAAGGAAGCTGCAGCGAGTTTCTGGGTCTGCAAACGCCTTGTAAACTCCCAAGCAGTGGGGGGCCTTGGAGGGTCGGCGAGGGGGCACATTTCCAAGACTCTGGCACTGAGCTCCCCTTGCCACTTGTTGTTTTCCACTCGAGGCCCCGAGCGCCAAGCAGCCCAGCCTACCCTGCCGCCGTCACCCACTTCACCCGCCAGCACAGAAGGGCGTCGAAACTCCGAATAACAGACAGCCCTTGCGAAAAGGAACATAGCTGGGGAGAAAGTGAACTTCAAGGGGAAGCTCACTGGCGTGTCCTGGCTTTTCCTCATTTTGCCAAAGACAAACAGAGGAAGTTTTTCCACGAGAACCTGTGGGATGAGAAACAGGACGATGGGCTGGCAGGGGTGCAGGCCACGAGCCCCTGGCTCCCCAAGCTGCCAGGTCAGTCCTAGCCCCACCTGCCACCTGCCAGAGGTGCCCCGAGCTCAGCTGCTCTGTGCAGCAACCTGAGGGAGGGCAGTCGGGAGCACCCCTGCGGGAAAGGAGTGACCTGGGGTCACCACAGTCCACACACGGGCGGGAGGGGCCAGTGGGAGCTGAGCCAGCTCAGAGGGCTTCTGGAACCTTCCACTCTCCGTGGCTCACAACAACCTGTGAGCAGGTGGAGCCCCCACTTCACCTGATAAGCAGCACCATTTTCCAGGTGGGAAAACTGAGGCACAGAGAAGTTTAGGCTGTTCCACATCCCTCATAGCTAGTATGCAGCGGCGCTCATTCAGACAGGCTGGTGGCAGAGTCTGTGAAGTCAGTGACATGGGGCCAGTGGGTAGGGGGTGGAGAGACAGAGACAGACAGAGAGACAGAGAAAGAGACAGAGACAGAGACAGAGGAACAGGTGGGTCTGCTGGTGCAAAGAAGGCAAATTTCCAGCTGTCCCACAGGCCCTTCTCGAACGTCCAGCTGGTAGCATGGGTGGGCGGGGTCTGGGGCAGCCAGCCATCTTCCTGCTTGAGTTGCCCGGCTGTAGTAGGTCAAATCGTGACCTCCAGAATGACATGTCCAAGTCCCACCCCCCCGGGACCTGCAAAGGCAACTTGACTGAGAACAAGGTCAGCCTTCAGAGATAGAATTACAGATCTTCAGGTGAGGTCACCATGGGTTCAAGACCCACCCCCCTCCAGCCCCAACGAAGTGTCCTTAGCAGAGAAGGAGCAGGTACCCCACATGGAGGAGAAGCCACCTTAGGATGGGGCATGGACAGAAACTGGGGCCCCAGAAGCTAAAGTCAGTGCTGGAGGAGACACTCCTGCCCCCACCCCCACCCCAGGACAACTCTGCGGAGTCCTCAATCTGGAGGTCTGGTGTCCAGAATGTCGAGAATCAATTTCTGCTGTTTGAACCCCCTGCTGCCCCTCTCCTGCCTCCTCCTCAACACCCCCCTTCTGGCCCTCTCCCCGTCAGACACCCAGAGAATTCCGCCTCCCTCCCACAGTCCTCACGTTCATCCCCACCGAACCCATGCTCAAAATGCCTAATCGGTGAGGTCCCCATAGCAACGGTTCTGATGCCAGAACCTGGGATGACGACAGGGCTCAGCCAACCAGCCAGCTTGGGGGTGCGGGGGAGGGTCCGCCGAGAAAACAAACAGCGGAGGGAAGGTGACGTCAGTGACAGGCCCACCGGGGTTTGCAGGCGCTGTCCTTTGAGAAAACAAAGCTCGGGGACAGCCCCTCCACCTGCTGCATCTGTGGATGTAAAAGTCCAGAAGGAATGTGAGGGGTTCTGGACAGGCCCCCTCCCTGCGTCCTCAACGGGCTGGCCCTGCGCGGCCTGCTCAGAGACCCCACAGTACCCCAGAGCCCAGGCCCAGGGTGACCAGCCTCGTGACCCCCCTGACGGTGGCCAGAATGGGCCTCGGCCCACTCTGTGCCCCCAGGCTCTGTTCTGGGTGGACACAGCCACTGTCCCTGGCACCAGTCAGTGCCCTTCAAGACCCTGGAGTGCACGTCCCTGGGGCTGAGGCCAGGGCTGACCCCCACCCCCCTTATAGCCCCAATGCCCCCCAGACTGGCCAGAGAAACCCAGCCTCTCCCCGTGTCTCCCTCCCAGCCACCCCCTGACCTCCCTCCCGGTCTCCGCACCGCCTTCCTCCCTGCAGGTGGACAGAACTGCCTGGCCTCCCTGCCCCCTCCCAGGCTGGCTCCTGCCTGCAGCCCCTTCCTCCTCCTGCCTCGGGGGTCCTCCCACAGGTCCCTCTGCTTCTCCCAGCCACACTCCTCCAGCCCAGCTGCCGGCCACTGGCCACCTGCCAGTGCCAATTTTCTCCTTTGTCCTTTATCGTCTGCCTGCACCCCACGCACTGCCTGATGCGGAGCCTGTATCGATAAAGTGCCCTAACCTGGAGCACCTGTCTCACTACAAGCACCATCTAGAGTTGAGCACAAGCAGACCTTCAGCTTTTGGTTGTGGCATGAAAAAATAAAGGAGCAGCACGTTTCCTTGGGCCTCATTAGCGCAAGTCTGGATGGAGTGAAGGCCTCAGTCAAGAGGAGTGAGTAGGAGGGATGGAAGGAGGATGGATCATGGATGGGTGTGCGGGTGGAGGAGGCACTGATGGGTGGGGAGATGGAAGGGTGGGTGGGTGGATAAATGGATAAATGGATGGATGGGTGAGTGGGCGGGTGGATGGCAGGATGGATGGTCGGATGGATGAGCAGGTGTGGGGGCTCTGGCTACTCCATTACAGATGCGTCCTGAAGCACATGTTCTGGCCGGTGTCCATCGGGGGCTGGGCAGCTAATGGGACTTCTCTGGAGTCAGGAGAACATACCCCTTAACCACAGTTTCTTCCCTTTCTAGACAAGTACCCTAGTGCTGTTCCCCTTCACCCCCAGGAAAATGTCTGATTGTCCTCCTGGGGTCCCCCTTCTAGGGAAGACGACGTGGCTGCTGGAAAAGCCCAAGTTTCCGTGTTTCATAGGAAAGAAGGGTCCAGGGAGGACCCTCCACGGGTGCAGGTTGGAAACGCCCTGGCAGGCCTGCACTCTTCCTAAACTATGGCCTTGGCTGCCCGGCCCTGGCTCTACTTTGCCCTGTTTCCAGAAAGATCTCAAAACTGCCAGAAACCTCCAGGCTTGTGCGCCACTTCAGCAGTGCGTGTTCCGGGCACTCCCGCGACCCAGGCGTGCCTTGAAACAGTCTTGCCTTTTCACACTGCCCAGATGGACCAACTCCACGAGGCAGCACAGACACTCCAGGGTCTGAGCCCGAAGAGGCCCAGGGGGCACAGCACCCCACCCCATAGTTGCCTGATGGGTAAGATGGGGTGAGGACAGGGCTGACATCACAGTTGGCCGTGAGGACCCAGGGCCAGGAGCCACAGAGACCAAGACCAGGATGAAGTGCAAGGCCTCGTGGCTGCAGTGAGAAGGCAGGTCACTGCAGTTTCCTGGTGTCTCCGAAGCTCCCGCCACTCCCCAGCCCTGCTCAGGGCACCGGGGTGTAAACAGAACCAACAGTGCCCCCTACAGGCCTCCTGGGCGCTCCTAGCCTGGGAGTGGGAGCAGGGCCTCCCCTGGGAACAGCCCCTGTTCCTAGAGTCCTAGGGCTCTGCCCCAAAGGTGGCCCCCCTGAAATGGGCAGTGGCCTCCCCTTCCGTCCTCTCACACCTCCTCCTTCTACCAAGTGATTTTAGCAACAACATGTTGGGGGTAAGAGGCCCCATTCCAGGGCAACTCAGATGCCTGCTGGCTCCATAAACCCTCGAGTCTCTTTCCTCCCCAAACCAGAAGGATGCGCCAGCCTGGGGTTTCCTGAGACCCACCAGGCCTCCAGCCGGGAGCTGAAGGGGTGTACTTTGCCAGGCTGCAGGGAGACTGGGGGGCCCAACAGCTTGAGGTCCAGAGCATCAGCTCTTCCCTCAGCACCCCCCTCCACCATCTCCCCCAGCTGCCCCTGGCGCTCAGGGCGTGCACCCCAGGGAGCTGCAGGTCCCCATCCCCCGCCCTCGCCCTCCTCCTGGGTGCCTCTGGGCCACACAGGGAGGGTGCGGTGGGATGAGCCCATCCGTTCCCATCTGGCACCTGGCGGGGTCACCTTACGTGAAGAGCCGTGATGAAGTATCCCAGTGATGCCTCCTGACTGAAGCAGATTTGACTTCTATAATGGCCCGAGGAAAGGTCGTAGCCTGGAGTCTGCACGACTCTGTCACAGAAATTAAAGGCGCACTTTGCCACAATAAAGGACTGTCTCTTGGCGGCCTGCTCACCCCGCCGATGCCGCCCGCGCCCGCCAGTGATGCAGATAAGGGCCTGCGCACAGCGGCCGGGGGTGAACGTCCTCTCCACGCCAGGGGTGAAGCGCTGCCCTCTCTTCTAGGCAGACACACCCTCGGATTAAATCGCTGCTGGGGAGTGGGGGGCTGAGGGGAGCCTGACTCTTCGAAGAGCTCATGTCCACCAGCTGCCTCCTGGGTTTATCTCTTTATTTGCCCCATGAGGACCCCAAAAAATATGTCCATAGGAGAAACCTAAGTTGTCTTCAGTGGATACCTGCCAGGGCGGGAATGGGGCAGGAAGAGCTGGGTGGGATTGTTAGACGTGAGCTTTCTGTTCTCGGGTTTGCATATGCATTTTGTAATGTCTTTCTGCTTCTGTCTTCCACGTTAACAAAAAAGCACCTTTCCTGGGTGGTGGGGCTGGCGGGATGGGGGCTGGAACGCCTCTGTTTCATCTTGATTCAGGCTGAGGCCAAAGCAATAAAATCAGCTCTACCTGGGGGTGCCAGGCAGTCGTGGGGTCCGGTGGGGGCAGGGGCCTGGGGGGAGACCGTGGAAGGAAAGAGCAAGTCCTCAGCGGGAATAAGGTGACACCCAAGATACGATATCCTGGTAACATTGTGGGATTATGCAAAGAACATTTCCCACCAGATCTTTGTCTGTCTTTGTTTAGGTGTTTACTTCTCACCCTGGACTTGCTCCTGAAGCAGTTTGCGGGTCTTCACCTCTGTCTCCACACAGATCTGCGAATGAAATCCACGGCCTGGGGGAGGCAGTGCACCCGGGAACTGTGGGACTCCAGAGATGGTTGGTTTGGGGCTACTCTGTTGGCGGGTGGGTGGAGTGAGAAAACTTTGCACCAGCAGCTCGAGTCATATAACATTGGCATCTATAATAAAAGGTGCCAGAAAAGGTCCCAATTAAAGAAAGCCGCTCCCGTGGGCGGAGAGCTCTTGCTGCAGGACCATGGAGCCCAGAATATGCGCAGCCCCGCAGCCCCGCAGGAGAGGCTCCTGCCCGGCTGCTTCAGGGCTGAGGATGGAGAGGCGCGGCGCTGCTGAAGATGGTCACCTTGAGGAAGTATCAGTTCAAGACTGTCAGGAAGAGCCTGGAATCTGTCAGAGGCGCTCACGTCCCCGGTACCAGGAATCTCGACTCCTCGCCTGACAGCAAAGCTCAAGGGTGTGCCAATTCAGACACTTCTTGGCAAGATGCCTCCAGATAGTCCAGCCCTTGCAGGAGGACCCAGCACGCCAAAGGGGGGAGAAGAAAACCTCACGCCTTGGCGTCTGCTTTCAGGGGAGATGCCTCCCCAGCACGGCCTGTGAGGGCCTGAGCCAGAGCCATCACGCAGTGTTTTCTTCTTCTCCCTCTAAAAATGACAAATAGATCCAAAGAAGCAGAATGATGTAATAAAGTCTCCCGGGCCCATCAGGCGGCTTCAACAGGGGCCAAGGTCCCGTTTTATCGAGTCCTCCTTCCACCCCACACCCTCCTCTGGATTCTAGTCTTTGCAGTTTTTCAGAGAAACGTCATACGCATCGGGATGCACAAATCTATGATTTTGACAAATGGACACATTCATCTGACGCGTAGGGGAGGGAAAGTTTTCCTTGACCTTCCAGGGGTCTCGGGCCGGATCTGACAATTAAGCGGAGAAAGATAGAGACCAGGAGCAGGGCAGACACATCTTGCTGAATATTTATGTGGACAGGAAGCCCTCACAAGAGAATGGAGACCCGAAGGAGTGACCAGAGTAGAAGCTTTTCTGCCTTTTGACAAAGAACAAAACATTTATGAAGAACTGACCAGACACGGGGTTTGGTTCAAGGTAGTAAATGGCAAAGAAATAACTAGGAAGATGAGAGGTGGTTTAACCAGGCTTGCGTGTACTGATTTCTTGGCCCCAAATTCCTCACCGCTGGTGATGAGAATGTCTTCCCTCTTCCTGTGACCGAGGGCACTTTCACGTGGGGGTTTTAGGACACATTTCAGGTAAGACGAGCAAGGGAGGAGGGAAGGTTGGAGTGACCTTCCTGCTTCTGCCTTTTTAAAACATCCCTTCAGGTTAAGATATTTAATACACCGAGACCATATTTTGGGGTAAGGTGTCCCCCTTAATATAATAAATGATTTCCATTTCACTGGCATGCTCTATAGGGCCTCTTCCCAATCAATCCTCCCACCCTCATCAGACAACCCTATTCTGATTTTTTTCACCATACATTTGCTTCATCTGTTCTAGAAATTCATATAAACAAA